ACCTTATTGCTGAAGGTATGGTCGTGAATGAAGCATTTCAAGTGATTGCAATGATTGAAAAATTACCTCCTTCGTGGAGAGATTTCAAGAACTATCTTAAGCACAAACGCAAAGAAATGAAGTTGGAAGATCTTGTGATTCGTCTCAAGATTAAGGAAGACAACAAAACAGCCGAGAAGAAGTCTCGTGGAAATTCAACGATCATGGGAGCTAATATCGCTGAGGAGACTGCATCAAAAAGTAAGAAGAGGAAGAGGTTTTCTGGACAGACTAAGGAGCAGAACAAAAAGAAATTCAAGGGCAACTGCTACAATTGTGGAAAAGTTGGTCACAAAGCCCCTGATTGTCGTCTCCCCGAAAAGGATAAGAAGAAGGGACAAGCCAACATAGTGGAGAAGAATGATAACATTGATAATCTGTGTGCAATGTTTTCGGAATGCAACTTAGTTGGAAATCCGAAGGAGTGGTAGATTGACTCTGGAGCCACTCGACATCTTTGTGTTGTCAAAGAAGCATTTGCGACTTACTCTATTGCCGGTCCCGAAGAAGAGCTTTCCATGGGAAATAATGCAACAGCCAAGATTGAAGGTTATGGGAAGATATTCCTGAAGATGACTTCCGACAAGGTGTTAACGCTCAACAACATTCTTCATGTTCGTACTATTAGGAAGAATTTAGTTTCTACTTCTTTACTTGTGAAGAACGGATTCAAATGTGTATTTGTTTCTAATAAAGTTGTTGTAATCAAGAATGAAATGTATGTTGGAAAAGTATACCTCACAGAGGGCCTTTTCAAACTCAATGTAATGGTTGTTGACAGTATGAATAAAATTTCAGCTTCTTCTTATTTATTGGAGTCAAGTGATTTATGGCATATTCGTTTAGGACATGTCAATCACAAAACCTTGCAGAAGTTAATTAATTTAGAAGTATTGCCTAAATTCGAGTGTAATAAATCAAAATGTCAAATATGTGTTGAATCTAAGTTTGTAAAGCATCCTTATAAGTCTGTTGAAAGGAATTCAAGTCCTTTAGACTTAATTCATATTGACATTTGTGATATGAAGCCGACACTGTCTCGAGGTGGAAAAAAGTATTTTATTACTTTTATTGACGATTGCACTCGATATTGTTATGTTTATTTGCATAATAGTAAGGATGAAGCAATAGAAACATTTAAGAAATACAAGAATGAAGTGGAGAATCAATTGAAATAAAAGATCAAAATGATTAGAAGTGATAGGGGTGGAGAATATGAATCTCCGTTTGTAAAAATATGTTCAGAATATGGAATTATCCATCAAACTACTGCACCTTACACACCTCGATCCAATGGAATTGCGGAAAGGAAAAATCGGACATTAAAGGAAATGATGAACTCTTTATTAATAAGTTCCGGATTACCACAGGGTTTGTGGGGGGAAGTTATCCTTACAACTAACCGAATACTCGACAGAGTACCCCATAGCAAAACGCAATCTATTCCATATGAAAAATGGAAAGGAAGAAAACCCAACTTGAAATATTTTAAAGTGTGGGGGTGTCTAGCAAAGGTACATGTTCCTTTACCTAAAAGGGTTAAAATCGGACCAAAAACTGTAGATTGCGTTTTCATTGGATATGCTGCAACAGTAAAGCATGTCGGTTTTTGGTTCATAAATCCAATAATCCCTAAATTCATGTTAATATGGAATCAGATAATGCTGAATTTTTCGAAAGCGTCTGTCCGTATAAAATCGAAAACGACCTCGGGAAGAACCAAAGGAAATTACTCCAAGTGTAGAAGATCCAAGGCGTAGCAAACGTCAAAGAACATCTACTTCCTTTGGACCAGATTTTGTGACATTTTTGCTTAAAGATGAGCCTCAAACTTTTAAAGCAGCTATGTCATCTTCTGATTCAACGTTTTGGAAAGAGGCGGTCAATAGTGAGATTCAATCAATTTTGGATAACCATACATGGGAATTGGTTGATCTTCCTCGAGGAAATATGCCTTTAGTTCGAAATAGATCTTTAAACGCAAAATGAAAGCTGATGGTACTATTGACAAATATAAAGCAAGACTTGTTGTCAAAGGTTATAAACAAAAGGAAGGCCTTGATTACTTTGACACTTACTCGCTAGAAACGAGGATAACATCTATTAGGGTGTTAGTGGCACTAGCGGCCGTATATGGTCTTAAAATCTATCAAATGGATGTTAAAACAACTTTCTTAAATGGAGAATTGGAGGAAGAGATTTACATGGAACAACCTGAGGGTTTTGTGGTTCCTGGTAAAGAAAAGAAAGTGTGCAAACTTGTTAAGCCACTTTATGGACTTAAACAAACACCCAAACAATGGCATACCAAATTTGACCAAACGATGTTGGCAAGTGGGTTTAAAATCAATGAATGTGACAAATGTGTTTACATTAAAACACTCCAGGTCATGAAGTCGTTGTTTGTTTATATGTTGATGACATGTTGATAATAAGCAAAAGTATGGCAGATATAAATGCTACTAAGAGCATGTTGGCTAGCAAATTCGACATGAAAGACTTGGGAGCCGCTGACGTGATCTTATGAATCAGAATTCATAAGTCTCCACAAGGTCTAGCATTATTACAATCTCACTACATTGAAAAGGTACTTGACAAGTTCAAGTATTTGGATTTCAAGATTGCCAAGACTCCAATTGACGTGAGTCATACACTTCAAAAGAATAAAGGTGAAAGTGACTCACAACTGGAATATGCAAGAGTATTGGGAAGTTTGATGTATATCATGAATTGTACGCGATTAGATATAGCATGTGCTATTAGAAAATTGAGTCGGTTTACAAGTAATCCCAATCAAATACATTGGATGGCAATGAAATGAGTCTTGGGGTATCTGAAACATACCCAAAATTATGCTTTGTATTATAACAAATATCACCCCATGATTGAGGGATATAGCGATGCAAATTGGATCACCAGATCATCTAAAGTTAAATCCACGAGTGGATATGTTTTAACAATTGGGGGTGGAGCAGTGTCTTGGAAATCATCCAAACAAACGTGCATCGGCCGTTCTACAATGGAATCTGAATTCATAGCTTTAGATAAGGCCAGTGAAGAAGCTGAATGGCTCCGGAATTTCTTGGAAGATATTCCATTTTGGCCCAAACCTTTGGCACCTATTTGTATACATTGTGATAGTCAAGCGGCAATAGGCAGGGCAGGGAGCATTATGTATAATGAAAAATCTCGTCATATACGACGGAGACACAATACTGTTAGACAACTACTCTCTAGTGGTGTTATCACGATTGACTATGTAAAGTCAAGAGATAACGTGTCGGATCCACTTACAAAAGGCCTATATAGAGAGACAGTTGAAAGATCATCAAACGGAATGGGGTTAAGGCCTAGGACAAGTCATTATGGCAGTAACTCTATCTAGCAGACTGGAGATCCCAAGAGCTAGGTTCAAAGAGATCAAACAAAGTTATGAATGAAGGTTCAATATTGTCAAATAACTTAACCCATTCTCGTGATGAAGACAATGTTCAAAATCGAGGTAAAGCATTAAGGCTTTTTACGAGTCAATAAAGCTTAAAGCTTTTTAATGATTTGCTAAGTCTGGAAGGATATGAACAGATAGTGTGTCTTTATGATTACACGTTAAGGAATCACCTATGTGAGTGTCAAGTGTAAGCCGCTTCAAGGGGAATGAAAGTAAAGGCCCATTCTCTAAGCACTCATGAAACCAGGCGGTGTTCATGGCTGAAACGAACACAACCGTGAGAACCATAGATGGTTAAGGATTGATTGTGTGACTTATGTTATCTAGGTATACAACAAAGCTCGACGGTTCAAAGATATCAAATCTACCGATTGACCGAGTATATCCGATATAAGTTCACTACGGAAAGTTCAAAGAAAAACCTACTAATCCAGATGCAATTAATTCTTGCATGTAAAACACACACGTGTCCGTGCATTCCTTTATTTTATAGCCTTTGCCCATTTATGTGGGAGATTGTTGGGCTTTAAGCTTGGTGTAACTTAATTTTAAGCTTGGTGTAGCTTAAAGAGGGTGAATGGAAAATGGAGGAAAAATGAAATATTTGAGTTTCCCTCCTTGGCAAAGGGACATTGTCCCATATTGGAGGAAGAAAAGACTTTTGATGGGTATATATACTATTGCTCTTCTTCTAGCTCTTAAAGAGTTAAGAAGAAGGCAAGCCTCACGCCGTCGTCGTCGCTCGCTCGCTCGGCTCGGCTCGGCTCGGCTTCGGCTTCGGATTTGGTCAAATATCAATTGATTAATATTTTTGGATAAAATTCCTTTCAGTTATTTAATTAACTAACGAGAATTCAATCTGAAATAACCCGCGACCCGGTTCGGTCCGGTCCGTTTTCTTTCCCGGATTATTTTAAATCCGTTTTCTAATTTTCCTGCAATATTCCCATCTGTTCCAACAGCTATGGCTATTCTGAAAGGTTGCAAACCTTTTCAGAAACAATGCCAAATGGGCTACAAAATATGCCTTGAATCCCAGAATTTTTACTTACTAAATTTTCTGATTATCTTCTTCTTCTTCTGCACAATATTTTCCAGTGTGTTTTATGACCATTGAGTGGTTCGCCGTTCACCAGAGTTTTTGGTACCAATACGCTGGTGAGTTAAATCGTTCTATCGTGAGAGGATATATTCCAACACCTCAGATACTTGAGGGGAATAATTTCCTTAAGGATACACAGTGTATTCGGTAGGCTCGATTAATTCCTATATTATTTTTCAGAATTTATTTTGTCGTTCTGGTTCTACTAACTTTCTATTTCTGTTTTTCCAGAAAGTTTACTATTTTATTGTTTATTACAGCAATACAGATTGCATAACATATCCACCCACTCCATTTCGGGCACGTTTAATACCAATAATCAATAACACACTAACACAGTATTACATACTCCCTCTATAATCATCTCATTAAGGGTAAACTGGAAGTTTAAAGGAAAAAAAAATTCTACATATTGAAAGGGGACAGACTAATAGAAAAGTGCATGCATAGATTGGGACAGAGGAATTACTAATCAGATAAACAAAGACTTACCCCCATTTGTTGAGTTTATCACTAAAGGAAGAAGAATCGGGTTTCTCAAACTGGATAACACCTTCAAGAGGAACAGTATCTTGGCCCACGAAAGTGATTCCATCATTTGAGCCGAAAGAAGTTGACCCATTATTTGATCCACTAGTACTAGTAGTAGTAGTATTAGTTTGACGAGGAGCGCCGGCGCCGGAAGACGATTCAGCGTTAGCAAGAGTGAGGGGTTTAGGGCGATTTTTTGGGCCGTGAATTGGGTTAGTAGTGGAGACTTTAGTGGGCCGGCGGTGGGAGAAGAGAGGAGGAATAGGGTTGGTGAATTTGAGGGAACAACGATGAGTTGCCGATAAAGCTCCGGCGGGAGCTTGGCTTAGAAGGTTCATTGTTTCCACTGCTTCCAATTCGTGGCTATCGTTCGATATGATTTCGTCTTCTGAAAAGTGTTAGAACTTAGAGAATACAATAAGGATTAATCCAACAAAAACGAAGTAAGAAAAACACCCTAAAACCGTAAAAACATTAGGTAGCCGACCTCAACGTGAAGGCCAAAGAAAAGTATCGTGTAACTTATAGTACAGTACAATCAATAATATGTATAATATATAATTTAGTATATACTATTCCAGTACGGTATCGGTATATATGTAATTAATATTTTTTAGAATATCAAATACCATGCCTAATACCAAATATTTTTAAAATTTAAATCAAATACCATACGAAATACCCAAATACCGAATACCAAAAACCGAAATTTTCGATTTTAGTATAGTGATTCTGGTATTTACCCCTAAATGGGATTTAATATAATTAGATTTGAGAGATATTCACCTTATTAACCACTAGATAATATTTTCTTTTGCAAATTAAGTGATAAAAAGATTAAGAAGGCCCCCAGTAGATCACAGATAAAAAGAACATCTATTACTCTATCTGTGCATAAAGACCAATTTTAGAGGAAGTAGAAATATAATTAATAAATATGTCACATTTCTATTCATAGGCTCACAGAATAAAATAATGAAGACATGAAAATAATGGTAAGAATATGGACAACACGAAGAAGCAAATTAGGGTAGAGCTAAGCCGGGGCATTTGCATCTATACCCGCTTTTTGTGTCACATTTTAACTTGTGCCCGCTTTGCAAAAAAAATTGCAAGCGTACCCGCTTTTTCGCATAACTTCAGCACACGGGGCTGAAGTAGCAAAGGTAATCACGCAAAACTTCAGCATTCTAGTAGCCGGGCCTGAAGTTCAGCTCTAGAGCTGAAGTTTTTGTGTTGTAACTGGAAACTTCTTGTCTTTGTAACTGGGAAACTTTAGCTCTAGAGCTGAAGTTCTTGTCTTTGTAACTGGGGAATCCCACTATCAAGATGTTCTAGTTTTTGATAACTCACCCAACTTTAGTTTACCGTTATTAGATTTTATGTAATCGGATCCATCAAGATAGAATAACCAACAGTGAGATCCTCTTCATGTAATGCAGAAAAGATTCAACTTTTGACACTATCAGTTTATTTTGACATGTTACATACCTTACTGTTTAGTGTTGGGTTTACTGTACAGAGCTGCTTGTTGTAAGTCATTTTAGTCTGATGTTGTAATAGAGTTATATATTGTCGGTGGACAGAAGTTGAACTCTATTCAAGTAAAGGGTCTAGTTAATTTGAGCGAATTTCATGAAGATGTACTGCGCTAAAAGAAGTTAAACCGCAGGTACTAAAATGATACCACAGGGTGCAAACCCAGTAGAGAGAAAAATTGCACAAGAGGGCCACGGGAGAAGAAGAAAAAAGAAAATGAAGGAGGAGAAGGGGAAGGAGAAAGGGAGCTGAGGTTGTTTAAAAAATAGGTGCAAGTTCAAAATTTTTAAAAAAATGGGTATAGATTAAATGGGAGCGACCAAATAAGACGTCCCGTGCAATTTTTACAGCTAGGCCTTGGCATGTTTCGAATGCAATTATGAAGCCCAAATGTGTAAAGATGCATTCATCATAATAGTAATAGCCCTCGATCTCCTTGGCCTTAAATAATTAGTCACAACCTGGCCTACACTGGATATGTCCCATTCTTGAAATTAATGAAGAAATAATAGAATCTCTTATGTTTTGCTCTTTTTTTCACATGTTTCAACACAAGTCTTTTGCTTATTATTGCCAGACTTTAGAGTTTAAGAGTAAATTCAAATTATATACTACACTAGTGTTTAATTTGAAACAGTCCTACAACAATACGAGGAAGAAGATGCAGTAGCAATGCCACAGAAGAAGAAGAAGCAGCAGCAGCAGCGTAGCAGAAAAGTGGAAGGGTATTAAATACATGTATTGACTTCCATTTAAGAGATTTTTACATTTCTATGTCACATAGGAAACTTTATTACCCTCAATGTTTAAGGTTTGACTTAATTACACTTAGTATACCAAATTACCAATTATATACCATAGTATATTTTAAGGGTACAATTAATGCAGCGTATATCCCTCCCTAATTCAAGATACCGTATATCCCACCCCTCCCACGTTTCTCTCTCCCAAACCCTCACCCTCACCCACGTTTATGTACTGTTATTAAACATAAAGAGAATCATGTAACTAAAATTATATTTCAGAGAAATTCTTTAGTTCTTATTTGTCTTCAGAGGAACTCTTTTCTTGGGCCTTCCAAAAATGTGTCGACAAAGTACGTACCTTACAGAAATTTGTAGAAAACGATATCAAGTAACTGGTCGAGCTTAATGATCTTCAAAAATAAATTAGGTAATTCGTATCTTCAAAATGGGTTTCAAAAAGAATAATGAATGGCATACGTATCTAATTTCTTTACGCGATCAAGTAATTAGTGTAGAAGTTTTAGTCGTTTTTTGATTTGTGAAAACAGAAAACAAAGCATCTACAATCAGAATACAAATAATCTACAATTTATCTACAAAATATCTACAAACTGGGTACATTGAATTTTAATATCCCAATTCCCATTCGATTGTAGTTTAATTGAGATTTTCGACATAATTGCGTTTTTTGTAAAATATTTGTAGAAGTTTTAGTCGTTTTTGATTTGTGAAAACAGAAAACAAAGCATCTACAATTAGAATACAAATAATATATAATTTTATCTACAAAATATCTACAAACTGGGTACATTGAATCTTATATCCCAATTCCCATTCAATTGTAGCATAATTGGAATTTTTGACATAATTGCGTTTTTTCAGAAGATTTGAAGAAGTTTTAGCCGTTTTTTATTTGTGAAAACAGAAAATAAAGCATCTACAATCAGAATACAAATAATCTACAATTTATCTACAATTTATGCAATATGTCTTCTTCTTCTTCTTCGAGTTTCAATCTAAAATTCAGTCAAAACCAAGTCTAATCTTCACCAAAACCCCTCAAAATTGAGATATAAACTCCAAACCATATTCCCGATTATTTTCAACAACACCCAATCCAAATAAATAATGATTTTTGAAAACTCAAATTTGAATTCAAAGCTTTCAAGCTTTTTAATGGCTGTCAATGGTGGAATTGCTGCTCTCTTTTCATTTGCTTTGTATCACTGAAATTTGCGATTGAGAAATAGAGAGAGATGTAGAGAGAATGTCGACGAACTGAGCTTTTGCAGAACTGATTTCTACAATTTGATTCGAATTTGTTGACGATTTTATCTTTTTTGATTTGTGGCTTAAGGAAAAATATCGAAGAACAGAGTTTTTGCAGAAAAGAGTCTATGTAATTTGATTTTAAGATATAGGATTTGCGTTTCAAATTGATCTGAAGGTCGCTAAATCAATTAGAATTCTGTTCCTGATTTGTAGCGCGCCTAATTAGGAAGGAATCAACTCCTAATAATTAATATTTAATGAATGGTATAATAATTATAGAAAAACTGTGAATATGGCGGATAAATATGAAACTATGCACATTTTTTATAATAAGGTTTCATATATAGTATATGAAGAAAAAAGTTCCCTCATTTAATAGTGACTGGACTGAGTTTTAAATAACTATTTGACGGACTGAGTTTTAAACAGCAGTGTTAAATACGGCTATTTCTGCACTTCAACCGATTATATAGATTTAAAAGTCCAAATATGTTGTGTTGATCCATTCTTGGTAAAGCTTTACAAGATGGGCCAATATTCGGTTTTAAACCCAAAGGTGCAAAAGGGAGCAGTACTATACATGAAAGAATTGAATTAACCTAAATAACCGCTTATTCAACCGATTAAACTAAAAATAGCCATGAAATAGATAATATATATATGTAATTCATGTATAATATAATTATAACCGTGTATAATCATGTATAATCTATGTATACCGACTAGAAAAAATAAACAGTAAATTTGACAGGCTATATGTGTAAAGATCCCTACATGAAACTGGAGACAAGTTCAACTGTGAGAGAGAGAGAGAGTGAGAAAAAGAAAGAGAGAGAGACATAGAGTGCAAAATAAATAAATAAATAAATTAATTAATAAGTAGACAGCTTTCCAGGTTTCACACTGTTAAAAGAGAACATGGGTATGTTGCAAAAACTAGGAAGATAAATGCAGGGAAACAGGTTGGGGGATGATAGGTACAACAAAATCTGTTATTTACTATCATTTCGTAATGCATTGTCACATGAAGTAAATGAAGTGTTCAACAACCCTATTTTCACTATATGCACTATCAAACAACTAAATACGTTGCATATAATTGTTCATATAAACTTTTGTGGGTTAAGAGGGCGTTTGGCTAAGCTTATAAGCTGGTCAAACTATCTTATAAGCACTTTTTGGCTTATTTATGCGTTTGGTAAAATTAAAAGTGCTTATAAGTCAAAAATAAGCCAAAAGCCATAAGCTGGTCACCCCCAGCTCATGAATTTTTAGCTTATAAGCACTTTAAGTTTGACCAAGATTTTTACTATTTTATCCTTAAAATATTCTTTTTTAGAACAAAACTTCTACATCGATACTCTCTGCCTCAAGTATTCAACCTAAATCCCCCTCCCCCCCACCCCACCCCTCCTCCCCCCCACCTCTTCAAGTCTGTAATTCTCATTAACTATTTAAGATAAGCAAATTCTCTGTTCCTTTGCATACATATATCTATGTGATTGTGTATTAATCTTTGAACTATATGTAATAAATGAGGACATATCAAATTTTTGGTGTATTGCTTTCTAAGTGTTGTGTTGATGAAGACAATATTTGTTTCTCTTCAAATAATTTGTCCTATTTAGGTTTATTTTTTACTGAGAAACTTTTGTCAATTTATTAATTATTATATCTTATGATTATATGCTTATCATAAAATAAATTATATTTATTATAAAAATTATCTTATCTAAGCACATTTGTATTTAAAATAAAATGACAAATAGAATATCTTGTATTTGAATCGATTTGGAATCTAAAATTTTGAAAAAATTACGCCCTTATAATTTTAAACAATTCTAAGGTTATTTAATTCATTTTAACAGAAAAAGAGCTTATCGGCACTTTTTTATCAAATACTGCAACAACTTATTATCAATTTCCAAACACGTAACTGCTTATTTATTAAATTAGTTTCAGCACTTAAAAGTGCTTTTCAGCACATAATGCTTATCAGCTACTTCAAATCAGCTAATCCAAATGGGCTCTTAGTCATAGTTAAGTTAAATACTCCATAAATCTATATACGTTCATAAATTAGAATGAAGCACTTCAAAATTCATAACAAGGAAAAGTAGAATTTGACCAATATTGTACCATAATCAAATTTTAAAGTTATCTAATATTACGAGTAAAATTATGTTTTAAGTTATTGATTAGTATTTGGTCGTAACGCGGTATCTAATCAATAGGTTCACATACGATGCAACCAAGGAATTGAAGTGCTATTTATTATGGCACTTTAATTTCGAAATGCTAAGAAGATATGTTGTTCTTAATTTAGAGTTAAAATAGCACGGGCTAGCCAGTTTTCAGACTGGTCATCTAAAAATAGCCAGCGTTTGCAAAGTCATTAAAGATTTGCACGACTAAGAAGATCTTGAATATATTTACACTGACACAGAAAATAGCCACCATCACAAGCCGAAACACCAAGAAAATAATTAATAAGCCCTAAGTCATTCATAGCAAATTCAGACTTAAGAGTGTGGATCAGAGAATGAAGTAAAGAAGTAGATGAAGCAGTAAGAAGAATGTCATCGACATATAGAAGCAAAATAGCAATGTCCCTTTTAGACTTATAAACAAAAAGAGAACAGTCAGACATACTATTTCTAAAACCAATTTGGAGCAAGAATGTGGTAAAACGATGGAACCATGCCCTAGGAGCTTGTTTTAAGCCATAAAGGCTTTGTTCAACCGACAAACATGATTAGGAAAGTTTGGGTGAACAAAACCAATAGGCTGTTTCATGTATACCAGTTCATTAAGAGTGACATGCAAGAAGGCATTCTTAACATCCAGTTGATGAATTAGCCACCCTTTAGAGGCAGCTAAAGCAAGAACAGTACGAATAGTGACTTGACTGGTTTCACCACAGGACTAAATGTTTGATCATAATCTAGCCCATGTTGTTGATTGTACCCTTGCGCTTTAAACCGTTCAATTGAACCATCTGAATGTTGTTTTACTCTGTATACCCAACGACAACCAATAACATTAGCATTCGGAGGAGGCAACACTAACTGCCACGTATTGTTGGTCATGAGGGCATTATATTCTTCAGCCATGGCTTTTCTCCAGCTAGGATCCTTATTAGCTTCCTTGAATGAAGTAGGCTCGGGAGGAATGGATGGATGTCTTTCTTAGATAAGGAAGAACCCGAGGCTTAAGGTTTCCTATTTGAGAACGAGTAACCATATGACGAATTTTTGGAAGAGTAGGAATTGTGTGAGGAGAGTGACGTAATATGGGAGGAGATAATGTAGGGGAACGTATGGTGGAGGAAGTAGAATGGTATGGAACATCAACGTTTGAAAAGGGATAAGGACCAGCATGTGTATTAGTTGTTGCACGAGTAGAAGAAGGTAAGAGAGGAGAAGATGTAGTTCGAACATTAGAGGGATAAGGACTTACAAGTCTACTGTGTATAGGAGAAGTAGAAGACTGTATATTTTGAAATTCATAAGGAATATTACATAAGAATGAATTATATCTAATTGGAGACAAATATGAAGAAGTCAAAGCTGATGAGGAATCAACACTGAAAGGTGGATAAAATTGTGAACAAGTAGGAGAAGGCCTAAAATCCAGTGGCGGTGAAACTAATTGAGAAATATTCTTACACAAATTAGTTGGAGATAAATGAGGAATCTGATTTGAAGGTGGAGAAATGTTCTTAAGCAAATTAGAAGGAGATACATTTGGAATCTGATTAGAAGTAGGAGAAATATTGTCAAGAAGATTAGTTGGAGTTAAACTAGGAATTTGATTAGAAGTTGGAGTATTTTGCGTATGAGATAAAGGGAGAATCCTAGCAGGTGAAGAGATCAAATGAGATACAGTAGGTAGCAAAGGTTGGAAGGTAAACTCTGTTGGAGATTTGAATAAAATATTTGAAACACAAGAAGAAGTTGGTTGTAAAAGAGTAAGATACGGAAAGGATTCCTCGTCAAATCGAACATGTCGAGAAATTTAAACTTTATTTGTTAATGGATCAAGACACCGAAATCCTTTATAATTTAACGGATAACCAAGAAAAACACAATGTTTAGAACGGGGACTTAACTTGTTACAAGAGTAATCACTAAGATTCGGATAACATGAGCACCCAAATACACGTAAATGGTCATAGGTAGCAGGCTTGCCACAGAGAACTTCAAATGGAGTTTTAAATTGAAGTTTAGAAGAGGGAAGTATATTCAAGAGATGAATGTTTGACTCAAAAGTTGTTTAATACTTTTTAAGCAAATCAATCAATATAGATGAAGGGGTAAATCGTAGTTAACATTAATTAATACTGGATCAAAGAACATAATCATAAAGATAGAAGAATCAAATGAAACGACACCTGGGAGGTTTTTATTGATTATAGAAATTCGGCCTGCCTCTCCTTGGAGAGGTTCAGGAGATTACAACTAAATTCTTTCTTCCTCCTTGAAGGTGGAATCTCTCTCTCCCTCTAAGGTTGTTTTGCCTCTCTCTCATGGAGTTCTCCCCTGTTTTTTCTGGTTTTTTCCCCTCCCCCTAAGGGGTTCTTCTGCCTTCTATTTATAGCCCAAAACTCCCCATGCTTATCATATTTTGTTCGGGCCGGGTCGGGGAGGTGACCTCCCCTCATGGGGAGGCCTCGACACTCGTGTCGTAAATAGCGGCGATTAGGCGAAGTCAAGTTCGTTGACTGCTGCTGCGGGGTGGTCGGGACGGGGTCCTTGCTGCTGTGGTCGTGTGGTCAGATTCTGACCAATACAGTTAGTCCCTCCGTTCGTCGGGGTCGTATCTTGCCGACCTCGGCAGACGGATAATGTTTGTGACGTAATCTTGGAGGGAGTCAGATCCGCGTGTTTTTCTTTGGTCGCATTCCAAATTTCGAAACTGTCCGGAGGCGTCTTTTTAATACTTCTTATGCCGTCACGACGGTTTCGAAGCCGAAGAGCCGGTTGATAAACGAAACGTAGCTTTGCACCAGCGGTTACAGCGGCGCACGTTCCCAAGGAGCTGAATCGTTTCATGTCCGGCCAGGTTCTAACGGCGACCGTTGGTTTTTGTGCCCTGGAGAATTTGTGTCTTATAAATTGAAGGGGTATGTCACTCGTTTCTCACACTTTACTGCTCATCTTCGAGAGAATTCCCAGAATATCTCCCTTTCTATTAGTTTGAGCTCTTCTTGACTCCTTTGCTCGCGGCAATCTTGAGCTTTCTCGCTTCTTCCTCAAAGTTCCTCCCTCCTCTTTTTGTGAGTTAAAGATGACAGGAACTTCTTCTCATGATAATCTTCCGGCTATCTCTCCGGCGGCCAGGGACCCTGCTCCGGCAGACGGAGACGTAAACCCGATAGAGTGCGAAGATGTTCCTTCAGCAGAGGAAATTTTATCCCGCCTGAGGAAGGCAGTGGTGGATTTTAGCGCCGATGGTGGTGCGGAGTAGGTAAATATTCCTCCTCTAATAGGGGAGATCGGAATAGCAGATTTAAGGGCACGAAGGGGTATTCCTGGTTATGTCGAGATGGTGCTGGAGAAGAGAGAAGATAGGGTCCAGATCGACCGTCCCGGGTTTTGCTCGTTCTATGCTTACCCCTTCCTAGTGGGGTACACACTTCCGCTTCCAATGTTGGTGGTCGACTTCTGCCGCTATTATGAGGTGTGTCCTGCCCAACTCTCTCCTTACCTGTACAAGTTGTTCTTCATGTTTATCAAGTATGCGGAGCTAGCCGGTCGGGAGGTCACTCTGAGACACATGCTCAGCCTGTTCGCTCCCCAAAAGATTCGCGGCACTATGATCCATGCACGTCCCCGAGGGTCGAAGGGTTTAGTGGTCAAGATGGACGACAGGACCAATCGCCGTTTTTTCGATAACTTTTTCTATGTGCGGACCGAGCATCTTGTAGCGGATTCAACTGGGTTTCTAGAAGTGTGGAATTTTACCCGTAAGTCTTCGTCCTTGACTAGTGGAGTACCCACTTTGGCCTCGCTTTCTCTATATCTCCTGTTGTAAATATTGATTTATTTCGATGCTTTGCAGCCGAGAAGTTACCCCCAGCTCCTCTGGAGGGGATCCGAGAATGGGTTGAGGCCACGTTTCATATGAGATTCGGACGTAGGCCCCTTACAGGTGAGATAGCGCCCTTATTTCTTACCCATTCTCTTTCGTTTCGATCTTACCTTTCGAGTATTGTTTGCCGTGGCCAGGGAGGGTTCGCAGAGTCAGGGCTCCTCAGTTAGCTTTCCCTCAGCCGTCCACGTCCGCTCGTATCAGTGCAGTACCTGCAGCCCGTCCGTCGAGGGAGGCGTCGGTAGAATCTGTGGTTTTGGCTGCTCCGACCCGGACTATATCTCCGGAGGAGGGTCGGTCTGGTACCGTCCATCCTCAAAACGACTCACCATCAGCCAGGGAGGAAGAAGGGCCATCGAAGAGGCAGAGGGTAGGGTTTGAGATGGTTCCTCCAGCAGTGATCAACTTGGATACACCCCTAGTAAACCCAGAGGAAGGTGTTGCGACGTCTACCGCTGAGGGGGAGCGGATGGTTGGGGCTGTACCCACCAGTTAGAGCCCGGAAAATTCTGCTGGTGTAGCGACCCAATCAAGAAGTCCCGCCGCCGATTGACGCAGGACATCTTGCTGTAGCGGAGAATCGGACCCCTGATGTTGCCGTCGTGACCTCGAGTGCGCCGTTACCGTCCTCGGCAGGTCGCGCCACACCATCGGCAGCGAAAAAGGGAAAGAGTGTAGTGATCGATGAATACGAGTCCGAGTCTGACTTGGACCCTAATAATGTTCGGATGTTTGAGGAGGGCATTACTCGCTCGGTAGTTAATGCGGAGGGGTCGGCCCGTCTCATTGAGATCCCCTCCGACGTGAACCTGTTGACACAAGGAGGCAACTTGGTACCACAATTCAGCTTGTTGTGTTCGGAGGCCGAGAACGAGTCCCTGAGGAATGTTTCGGATGTCGAAGTGATGGACAAAGTAGCTGTAATAGGCTTATGGGTATGTTATATCCGACTTCGATTTGTCTCTCCTTTGTTGTAGAATGAGCATTAGTTTAACTGCTTTCTTGTTTTGCAGACATACATGTTGGAGGTAGAAAACATTCGCAGAGCCAATGTCCGGTCGAGGATCTTCTTGCAGATGCTGGAGAAATACCATCGCTATCGTGATAGGTGGCGTGAGTTGCACGAACGGTTAAGGACTGATCCCCGCAATCGGGCTTTGGGCGAGAAGTTGGAGAAGAGGGACCAGGAGCTAATGCAGGCGCTCCGCAGCAAGAGCGAGCTCGAAGAGCAAATCCGCCTCAAGGACGAGGAGCTCGAGGTGAGCAAAGGGGTCGCTGCGGAATGCGAGCACCTGCAGGGCAAGTTACGAGCAATACAGTTGGAAATGAGCAGAGCCAGGCCAGAGCAGCAGAGATGAACGCCGAGTGGAGCGGGAAGTTGACTGCGCTGGAAGGCAAGGTTGCCGATTTGAAGCGCATGGAGAGGGCAGCGTTGGATGCTTCAACGAGAGCAGCGGCCTTAGAGGTGGCAATTCGTGTACATGAGTCCGAGCGAGAGTCGGAGAGAGCTACTGCAGCCCTTAGGGAGGCAAGGCTCGAGGAGCGGATTAGCGCGGTTGACCAGGAGGCCTTAGTCTTGTCAGATCGGGTTGCGGCCTTGGAGGAGGAGAATCAGCAGTTGAGGGCCCAGGCTAGATCATCCCATGCCGCTGTTCCCCGCCAGGCTCATGAACTCTGGGTCTATGCTGAAGCTCAACGTGATATTTTCAAGAACTTGTGGGAGGCAGGCATCGTAACTGAGGCAGCTTTCGAGGATGCGCGCCAGAAGGCTCGTGAGGCTCGAGCCAACTGTGGATATGATGTGGCAACACCCGAAGCTAATGGGGACACCAGTGGTGATGATGATAACGACGGTGTTGGCACCGAGTGAGAGAAAATTGTGTTTCGTTGTTGGTTCTCTTTTTTTTTTAGTTGGCTGGCTTGGACCAGATGTAAGCGGCAATAGCCCGCATTTTTGACTTCGTGAATAAAGAATTCTTCGCTTCTTGCTTTACATTTCAGTTCTCTGGTGGCATACGATCTAGTCGTGTGGTGGGGGCTTCGTCAGACGAGTCCCTGATTCCCCTTATGCGATGAAAGTTTCTGGTCATGGGTTTCATTATGAACCTTTTGAGAGGAAAGCTCATCTTGGTTCGAGCGAGGATGAGCTGTCAAATTTTGATGGCGAAGGCACTTAGCCTGAGTCCCAGTTCGAGCGAGGTCGAACTGTCAAATTTTGATGGCGAAGGCACTTAGCCTGAGTCCCAGTTCGAGCGAGGTCGAACTGTCAAATTTTGATGGCGAAGGCACTTAGCCTGAGTCCCAGTTCGAGCGAGGTCGAACTGTCAAATTTTGATGGCGAAGGCACTTAGCCTGAGTCCTAGTTCGAGCGAGGTCGAACTGTCAAATTTCGATGGCGAAGGCACTTAGCCTGAGTCCCAGTTCGAGCGAGGTCGAACTGTCAAATTTTGATGGCGAAGGCACTTAGCCTGAGTCCCAGTTCGAGCGAGGTCGAACTGTCTAATTTCGATGGCGAAGGCACTTAGCCTAAGTCCCAGTTCGAGCGACGTCGAATTGTCAAATTTTGATGGCGAAGGCACTTAGCCTGAGTCCCAGTTCGAGCGAGGTCAAACTGTCAAATTTTGACGGCGAAGGCATTTAGCTTGAGTCCCAGTACGAGCGAGGTCGAACTGTCAAATTTTGATGGCAAAGGCACTTAGCCTGAGTCCCAGTTCGAGCGAGGTCGAAGTGTCAAATTTTGATGGCGAAGGCACTTAGCCTGAGTCCCAGTTCGGGCGAGGTCGAACTGTCAAACTTTGATGGCAAAGGCACTTAGCCTGAGTCCCAGTTCGAGCAAGGTCGAACTGTCAAACTTTGATGGCGAAGGCACTTAGCCTGAGTCCCAGTTCGAGCAGGGTCGAACTGTCAAATTTTGATGGCGATGGCACTTAGCCCGAGTCCCAGTTCGAGCCAGGTTGAACTTTCAAATTTTGATGGCGCCTGAGTCCCAGTTCGAGCGAGGTCGAAGTGTCAAATTTTGATGGCGAAGGCACTTAGCCTGAGTCCCAGTTCGAGCGAGGTCGAACTGTCAAATTTTGATGGCAAAGGCACTTAGCCTGAGTCCCAGTTCGAGCGAGGTCGAAGTGTCAAATTTTGATGGCGAAGGCACTTAGCCTGAGTCCCAGTTCGGGCGAGGTCGAACTGTCGAACTTTGATGGCAAAGGCACTTAGCCTGAGTCC